TCCTTCTGCCCGAAAGGGCCTTTTTATAGTCGATTCAAACACATTAATTATACCACTATTAATATAGAATTGGAGATTGGGTGGATTGATGAATATAATTAACAAAAGTGGTTTGGAGAATAAGAATCAAAGCATCAAGTGGTTGAAGTGGTTAGGAGAATAAGCATCAAAGCATCAAGTGGTTGAAATATTAGTTTAGCTAATAATTTACACTCATTGACTAACAATCCCTCACATGAGTGTAAATTAAATATATGCATACTAGTATGCTCAATTCTCACAAACCTCTATTGCATCAGAAAAGGTAGCTTGTGACTTTGAACCTCTCTTAGTAAACATCATCGGATGTACTGGCGGCCTAGTGGACATAATGCCTTGAACTATTCCTCCATAGTGTACACCAAGACAATAACATTCACACAATAGAGTTTTAACTCTATTCCGTTCTATCGTTGTATCCATTTTGGCCATGGACATCACAATGGATTCATAAGTGTTCACATTTGAAGCGGCCCATACTTCACACTTATATAGGTGACCTCCTTATCAAGATTATCCTGTAATACTCCACTTTTACAAGGTTAGGGATTCATTAAAAGTCTATATGACTTACCCTCACCACATTCAATAGGTAATCTTGCACTTGGAGTGCTCTAGAGAATAGCTTTGGACATTCATATGTTCCAAGTGCTCAACTGAATTTTCATAGCTTAGTTTTCCCTTTGAACCAAGTTCGTAGGATCTCCAATCAGCATGGTAGGGTTACCACTATGATTATTCTTTACATTGTGGATTTTTAAGCCCATTCCCTCCAGCAAAATTGCCAATTTGTCTCTATTCAATCCTTTCGTCAAAGGATCAGTCAAATTTTCCTTAGACTTCACATAGTTAATGGAAATAACACCATTTGTGATCAATTGACGTACGGTAATATGTCTACGACGAATATGTCTAGACTTACCGTTATACAAGTTGCTTTGCACCCTACCTATAACAGCTTGGCTATAACAGTGAATCATCACAGGAGGCAAAGTTTTATCCCAACATGGAATATTGGATAATAAATTTCTAAGCCACTCGGCTTCTTCACCAGCTTTATCTAAAGCAATAAACTCCATCGTTGACCGAGCTATACACGTTTGTTTTGTGGATTTCCACGAAACTGCACCTCCGCCAATACAGAAAACATATCCGCTAATGGAGCGAGAATCTCTCGCATCTGATATCCATCTTTCATCAATACCCTTCAAGTACGACTGGATATCTCGAGTATTTTAGCCCGTATTCAAGGGTGTACCTCAAGTACTTAAGTACCCTTCTCAAAGCATTCCAGTGTTCATGACTGGGATTGCTCGTAAATCTGCTCAACTTATTTACCAGATAAGCCAAGTCTGGTCGTGTACAATTCGTCAAGTACATCAGACTCCCTATTATCCTTGAATATTCGAACTGAGCCACTGGTTGACCTTTGTTGACTTTCAGATTTATACTGAGATCAAGGAGTGTCTTACACCTAGACTGTGCACCGTCATAGGTATCAAATTTCTTGAGCACTGTCTCTACATAATGAGATTGTGACAAGACAATTCCATCTTGGGTTCTGATGATCCTTATTCTAAGAATAACATCAACCAAACCCATATCTTTCATGTCGAAATTTCTCTTCAACATTCTTTTCTTATCCATGATCACTTCATGGCTACTCGCCATGATCAACACATCGTCTACATATAGACATACAATCACAAATGTATTTGATGTACTCTTGACATAAACACATTTATCACATTCGTTGATTTTGAAATCATTTGTCAACATCACGTCATCAAATTTCAAATGCCATTGTTTCGGAGCTTGTTTCAGTCCGTACAAGGATTTGATTAATCTACACACCTTTCTCTCTTGTAAAGGTGCAACAAACCCTTCAGGTTATTCTATGTCTATTTCTTCTTCTAATTCACCATTCAAAAATGCCGTTTTGACATCCATTTGGTGAATCTCAAGATTGTGCAAAGCAGCAATCGAGAAGCACTCTAATCGACGCTAAATGCGTAACTGGTGAATAGGTATCAAAAAAATCATACACTTCCTTTTGTTTAAAGCCTTTGACAACCAAACGTGCTTTAAACTTGTCAATCGAACCATCAGCTTTATATTTCTTCTTTAGGATCCACTTGCATCCTAAAGGTTTACAACCATCAGGGAGATCAACCAACTCCCAAGTATGATTTCGCATAATGGACTCAATTTTGCTATTTACAGCTTCTTCCCAGAGTGGTCCATCTGGGCTGGACAGAGCTTCCTTAACGGAACTCGGTTCATCGTCCAACATGTACGTAATAAAATCAAGTTCAAACGTTTTAACTGTTTTTACCTTTTTACTACGTCTCAGTTCTTCATTAGTACCCTCTGGTACAGTACCACTAGCAGTTTCATATGTTTGTTTATTAGAACTAGATTCTGCCCTTTCTTTTAGAGGAAAAATATTCTCAAAGAATATAGCATGCTTCGACTCAATCGTGGTACCTACAGATACCTCTGGATTTTCTGATTTATCAACTAGAAATCTATATGTTGTACTATTGTATGCATATCCAATAAACACACAATCGACCGTCTTGGGTCCGATTCTCACTTATTTGGGTTCAGGTACTGAAACCTTAGCCAAACACCCCCACACTTTCAGGTATTTATAAGACGACTTACAATCTTTCCACATTTCGTAAGGAGTCTCATGTTTCTCTTTAGGTGGTATTTTATTCAGGATATGATTTGCTGTTAAAATAACTTACCCCCACATGATTTGGGGTAATCCTGAATTTATCAACATAGCATTCATCATTTCTTTTAACGTACGGTTCTTTCGTTCAGCAACACCGTTTGACTGTGGAGGATAAGGGGCCGTCGTTTGATGAATTATGCTATATTCAGGACATATTTTTTCAAAAGGAGCTACATACTTCTCACCCCTATCTCTTCGGATTATTTTAATCCTTTTGTCGAGTTGATTTTCAACTTCAGTCTTATAGACTTTAAATGCTTCCACAGCCTCATCTTTGCTTCTTAACAAATATAA